AATGCTGATCGTAGGTACAGGCACGGTGACAAGATTAAATTAGGAAAAGATGGGCAGCTTTTATTAATAAAAGTAGGAATGGGTCTGCCTGTCGGACTAAGATTGTTCATACCGCAGAGAAGATATAATTCATAATAATTTGTACCTTGGCTTGGCGCAAGTCTTATAGTCGCATTAAGGATGACTTAGATTGGCAAGCTTTTAGTGCGTAAAATACAATGTGATGAATATTTTAAGAGGGGACTCACAATTATTCTACGTGTCGCTACGACTAAGATAGTAAAACGGGGCTAAGCTAAAATTTAGATTAGCAAGTAGTATAATGATGCGATTTTCGCAGACGATAAATATGCAGCCAGTAAATATTCGTTTTTTGAGTAGGTAAGTGACTATCCCTTGTTAGAGTTCTATAAAAATTGTGATAGTTCAATTTATCTAACGTTTGTTTTGCGAGTAATGTTTTTTATTTTTTATGTCTATGAAGACTTAATTAGGTAATTGATTTAAAAATACCAGGAGTTATTTTAAGCATGCTTCTTTTGAATTCTCATATTTATTCAGAGCGCAATCTGTGGACTATTGTGAGTCAGGACTGAATAAAAGAACAAAAAAATCATAATTCTTTGCAAAAGCCTTAATTTTTTTAAAACTGCTGAATTCCAGCTATTGAGTGATTCATTTGCCGCTTTGAGGAAAGGTCTATGGCTTACTTCGCAGAAGCTTCGGAGAGTTTCTTACTTATATTTTAATTATAAACCTAAATAGAAAATTGTGAAAAAATGTGGAGACATTTCATATATATATATATATATATATACTTATGGAGTGAGCATGGGAGCATAGGTCTAAACAATTGTATTGGCATAACAGAAGTAAAAAATGTGTACCTAATCTCTTTTTTCCTTTATATTAGGCTTTAACATGTGTTTCTCTGCGTTCAATTCTTCATATTAACTCGGTGATATCATCCAATAATCGCATTTGTAAGCAAATGGCGATATTCTTGCTAAATGTCACAAATGGAGAGTAATTCTCTCTCTCTGAATTCCGTGTCATCTCCGAGCAGTTAAATAGTCTTAAAAGATCAGCTTGTTTTCAGGAAACTGCAATGGGGCAGATGGTTGCTAGCAATCAATAAGAGGAAAAGATATGAGCATACATATGTGTGTACATACGAATTGTCATTGAATGCGCTAATTAAAAATGGACACGAACTCCTGCTCTTTCAATAAGCAGTTATCAGTTCACATAGCTAGGATGATCAGGTACATTATAAATAAGTCCCCCGTGTATAAAGTAAGATGCAGGTATATCGCTTCTGGCGTATCTTGGATTTCCCTTAAGGTAAATTTGATTGATCTGATGAAATGCTTTTAGCATAGAGTTTTAGCTTTCAACAAGAGTTCTATCATGTGAAATACAAAAAAGAGAGCATGCAGATCATGACTACGATTGGGCATATGCCCAATTCGCAAATCATTGTAACAGCTAAAAGGGGAGCAAGATGTAGTAATCAGACATCGAAAGTATATGATTGGAAAAAATAAGTGAATAAAGGCATCACTTAATAAGAAAATCAGTTTGAAATGATAGGAGGAAAATTCTAAATGAAAACTAGAGCATCTAATGTTCAAATGATACTTGAGCGTTTTAAAGAGTCTAGACCTATGGTGTGGTTGAGAACTTCGTGGTATTCGAGTGAACTTAATTAAGTTTTGCCGTAAATACACAGACAAGCAAGTAGACTGACGGGCCTGTGTACATATACAATCAAAGGGATCTTCAAGTACGCCGGCAACAGTAGCCACCATAGGAAATCGTTGGAATAACCTTAACTAGGTTATTTGTTAAGTCAAAGTTGAAGAAATCACAAACGGGGCTAGATAACAACATAAACGAAATAAAAAGAGATAAGAATGAGCTTTAATACGATTGAATTTCCCAGTACAGCGCGTAAATGGTAGTTATGTTATAACAGTAATGCTTATCAGAATGTGAACTGGATGAATGGGCCCAGAGGAGATGGCGTCAGATCATAACACGCATTGACAGTGAGTTGAATGCATACGATAAATGAGGCCTGAGTGAATAAGGTTTTTTAATGTTCAAGCTTGAAGGTTTAACTAAATTTTTTAGCGCGAGAATTAAAATGTGCATTAAAAATGCACATTAAAAAATTGTCTAGCAAAGTCGTGTGCATGTTGATATTTGAGAAGAAATAGCGCATAATAAAAGAATTCATACCATAATGAGTACCAAGAGCGCTCTTTGGTTTTTATTAGAAAAGACCGTCCTTACGCTTAAGAGGATTAGGATAAGAGATAACAAAAAGGAAGCTGAAAGCGATGGTAGACCGGAGTGAAGGTGCTTTAAGCATAATGAGGAAAATAAGACACATTTCAGGCAACTTCATGTTATTTCTTATACCTTTGCTTATAATATGTCGTCTAGCAGCCCGCTTTGGAAGCTGACCTCTCCAAATACAGACAAACACGCACAGCACAGGAAGAAAAGAACTATTTAGGGCTTATTCGTGTTAATTACATGACTATGTACAGCCACGTACAGCTGAAAGAAGTCTCATCTAGCCAGTTTATCCGAAAAGTGCTCAAGAGAGAATTCGCTCCGCCAAAACATTTAGGGACCACTTTACAATACGGAGAAGGGAAAAAGCGGAACAGCGAGGATGCGCAAATACGACAATTCATCTAGGTAATAAGCGACCGTTGAAGGGCAGGAAATAGCGAAAGGCACCTCCTCCATGCATGTTTTACACAAGTAGTATATACTGCTGATAATAAATGGCCGAAGGATGGATAAGATGAGGGCGCTGGGATGGAATAAGAGTAAAAGTATATACGCCGTTGGCTTTAAAAGCAAAGAATGGGCAAGGGAGTTAAGGGAGTGGTATTGAATGAAAACAAAATATCTATATAAAATGTGAATCGACACCCAATGGAGACATTTTTTTAGTAGGGAAAGGATGGCAAACTATTAAAGGATATGGCACAACTGAGCAATTCTCAGACGATTTGGGCAAATACACACCTGGTAGGGAAAAGGGGGAAAATTTTCTGCCAATTTAGCTCATTTATCGTCTGAAGAACGGCAAAGGGAGAAGGGTGGGAATTATGGGTCAAGAGGAAGCCGATGAGAAAGCCTAGTATGGAAGTCTCTGACTCCGCACTCTCCTGTAGAAACATTAAGACTTGGCAATCGTATGAAGTCCTTATTAGCAGGTGCCTATCTGGGTGCAGCAGAAATATGCATGCGTGCGTTCGAAGCCGCAATCACTAGGCTGTAACGATAGCCTCAATACCAGGTGCCCCAGACAAACAGCCCTAAGCCCGTTCAGTTAAGGCTTTTTACTGCGTGCAGGTGATCTGTCAATTGATTTCTCTGCTGGTGCAGAGCTTCTGACATTTGTGAAGGTTGACTTGCCTGAAGCCCCACCAAATAACTTGCTTTTTGTTGAATCAGGTGTCTGTTTGGCTGGATCTGCTTCATCGTCCGATGAGCGTTCCTCACATATAGAAGGCGGCCTGGGGGCCCCAGGCCTCTGCGAGCTTAGGGAACCTACGGGAGAACTAGAAGAGATGCCGGTGGGTGTTATTGTCAGGGCCAGAGAGGTCGTATCAATCAGGGAGGGAATCACACTAGTCACGGCAATTGGTGTGGCAACGAGTTCAACAGCTGTCTTGGCGGGATTTCTGGTCGTCAAACTTGCGTCGTCGATCGTAGCGTCTGGACTCACATAGGCATCGTCGCCCAAATATCTTTTGCGCTCACTGGCTGCAGCATTGGCGGCTAAGGCAGCTGCGTTCGATTGGAGTGCGGCTAAGGACTCCGGGTCAAGAGAGGTCACCGTAGGCATGGAGAAGCGGCGCGGCGGCATACGTTCGTTCACTTTGTCGATCGCTTTGGCCTCCTCAAAAGAGGCGATCTTGTGATTCGGAGAAACGCCAGTGATAGCAGCTGTTCATATAAAGAAATAATCTCATAAGAATACAGTTGAAATGTATTCAAACATTTGCATAAAAGCATTTCGTTGGATAAGTCCCTCAAAGCGAATTGTTATTCTTTCTTATATTACGG